TTGTCTTGTTGTGTTGGTTGGGGACATTACACTAATCTCATTTTGTTTTTGTCCCTAAGCAATTTCCTAGCATTTTCTTAATACATTGTATTATATATAATGTGAGTATCCCTCCCCATTTTAGTAGTGTAATTTTCGGCCATCACAAAGAAGAGAGAAGAAAATTATATTTTGTGTTCAAAGTTATTTTTCTAAAGTGTTAGAAATATACACAAAATATTATAAACAAATATTTATAAGATAAATATTTTACTATATATTTATTACTCCCAAAGTAGTATTATTATAGTTTTTACTATCCTATATTAAACTTGCTAGCACAAGTTTAATCTTGGACTCCGGAGCAAGTTCGTGTGGATACGTTGGAGGCTTCATACGTTTGGCGCTACGTTCATCTCCTCAAAACCATCCCCGACCGTTCCTCCGTTCTCCGTTTTCACCGTTAAGGTAAATTTCTTACTATAGCTAGTAATTTACGGAAGTTGTTCTTGGGTGGAATCGAGTTTTGGACTATAAATTTTTGTTTTCCGCTGCGTTATCCAAGCCTCGTTTCCCAACAGTGGTATCAGAGCGGTTTTCCTCAAGGTTTCACCTTGGAGGAGGGTTCTTTGTTTTGGAAATGGGGGAAACTAACTGAGTCCCCGTTTCATCAGACCCTATCCTGTCATGGCAAGGGTGGGCCCTGTTGCTTACCAGCTGGAACTACCCCCTGAGTTGAGCAGAATCCATAATGTGTTCCATGTCTCCATGCTTCGTCGTAATCGATCCGATCCCACGCAACGTCTACCTGAGGGGCAGTTACCCTTGATGACAGTTTGACTTATGAGGAAGAACTTGTGCAGATTCTAGCACGGGAAGTGAAGGAGTTGAGGAACAAAAGGGTGTCTTTGGTCAAATTCTTGTGGCGTAACCATGTTGTTGAAGAAGCTACGTGGGAGATTGAGGAGTCTATGAGAGTTCAGTATCCCCATCTTTTCAGCAATAATGGTTCAGGTAATTTCGAGGACGAAACTCTACTAAGGGGAGGAGAAATGTAACGGCCTGAAACCCGGCTTAGAATTTTAATTAATTTATATAATTAATTAAGTACTGAGTCGGTCAATACGAATATTATTTTCTAATTTGTATATTTAATATGAGAGTTGACCTACGTTGTAGGGCTCGCTGTTCTAAACCCGACCACGCAAACAGATCGTGAATCGGACTTAATGGGCCCAAGATATGACTCATGAATAAGTGTAATTTGGACCCTAAAATCTATTTAATTATATATTAATAGCCACGGAGTTACAAAGAAAGGTATGACCATCTCCTTCCCCGTCCTTTTTCTCCTTCGTTCATTTCCCCTGCTCAGTATGTTCCCTCGTCAGGTGACTCCACATCGGCACCAGCGACCTCCATCCCAAGGAAAGCAACGCCCACCGCCATCTCTCTCTCACTCCTTCCCCCTCGCACTGGCGTGCGCGAGCCGTGAGGTGGTCCGACGAGGGCATCGGCAATTCCCCCCTCTTCGATCCAAGTTTTCTTCGATTACCGAGTTGATTCGTTGCCCAAATACCTATTGTTAGCGTTAATTCGTAGATTAGGATCTTATTTGTATTAATCTTTCAATTGATTGTGAAATTGTGTGAATTGATTGCTAGGACTATTGATTTGAATGTTGTATTGGATGTGGGTTGTGTTGGGGATGGATTTCGAGGTCGGATTCTGGCGAGTCACGGCAGTGGACTGTTGGAAGTGGCTACTGACGGGCTAGACAGGTTCAATTTGGACCCAATTGGTCCAATTGGGTCAATTCGTGTCCAATTGGGTTAGTTCTTGTGCAATCAGGTTGGTGCTGGTCCAATTGGGTTGATTTTGATTCAATTGGATGCGATTGGGCTGTTTGGGTTGTTTGGGCCGGCTGGTTGGGCTGTTTGGGCCGGCAGTGTTGTTTGTCCCAATGGGCAGTGGGTTTGGGTCTACGGGGTCGGTCTGGCGGGTTGTCGGGCTGATCCGGTGGTGAATGGTGCTGTTCCGACGGGTGCAGCGGGCCTAAGGATGGAGTCCTTAGTCTCGAGTTCGCGACACAGGTAAGTTATTTAAGTATTGTTGGGTTTAATCTTGTTGTTTGAGCATGACGGTAATCGGTGAGAAGTGATTCTTTCGATAGGCCGCTGAATGTATTGTTCGGTTTATGGTAATGTTTATGAGCTTATTGTCGCTTTGTGAACTCTATTCCAAATTTGCCACCTAGTATACCTAGGCGGATCTGAACTGAATTGGATAGCTTAATCACTAATAAGACTGTTGTTAGGTTCGAGCCTTGTGGAGCATGTTTGCATATCCAGTGGTCTAGGGTTCAAAACGTACATACAGGAGTCACTGTCCTACCTAAGGGATTCCTTGGTAGGGACTCCAACCCGCCCACTGAAGATTCTCTTTGGGTTTGTCCGAGCATCGGCCTCGAGGGATTCCCTCAAGTGTTCGTATCTCTAGTCTGTTGAATTAGGCCTTAGTGGTGTATGTTCTGTATTAGTCCATTCTGAGTAGATGAGATGGAACAGTTGAATTCTTGTACCTGAAAATAAATGTTGATTATTCACTGATGTTGCTGATTATATAAATGTCATACTATCTGTGAAATTAATTCTAGTGTTAGATATTTTTCTCACTCAGCTTTTAGCTAAGCATGTAGTTTTGTTGTCTTTGACTACACGCAAGGAAAGTCTCGTATCAAAATTCAGATATCTCATAAACATAAAAATTTTCAAAAATCTCAACATAGATCTAATCTAAATTTTCAATTTTCTAAAGTATCAACATTTCAATTTTCTATATTCTCATCCTAGATCTAATCACAAGCATATCTCATAAACATTTCAATTACCAAATATAACTTTAAATTAGAAATTTTAGGAATTAAAATAGAAATAACGGTACTGTATGTACCGTTAACCAACGAACGGCGGGACATGCGACGGCGACGGACCGCGACTTTTTGGTAGTTGGCGACGACAACGATGTTGAGGAGAACGGCGATTGGCACTACTGGTTCTTCGAAAATGGGAGGGGTTTCCCATTTTCGAAGAACCAACAGTGCCGATCGCTGTTCTCCTCAACATCGCTGTCGTCGCCAACTGCCAGAAAGTCGTCGTCTGTCGCTATCGCACGTCCCGCCGTCCGTCGGTTAACGATACATACAGTACCGTTATTTCTATTTTAATTCCTAAAATTTCTAATTTAAAGTTATATTTTGTAATTGAAATGTTTATGAGATATGCTTGTGATTAGATCTAGGATGAGAATATTGAAAATTGAAATGTTGATAATTTAGAAAATTGAAAATTTAGATTAGATCTATGTTGAGATTTTTGAAAATTTTTATCTTTATGAGATATCTGAATTTTGATACGTGGATGTTGATATGTGGTGCAGTGGATGGCGTCGTTATTTCATTATGGATACTTAATTAATACGTTTATTAGTTATTTGGTTTAAACATTTGAGTGTAGAACGTTGTTTTAAGACTTCCGCATACGTTGGACTTTTACTCTGAATGTTTCGTAATGAGGTGCAAAGCGAGGTGGACAAACTTTTGTCGATATTCAGGGAGTGTCATATCTCCTTGCTTTAATTCAATAAATTCAGCACATTTCTCTTCGCGGAGTCGGGCTGGGATATATTTCTTCTTGAATGCCCAATCAAAGAACTCCCAAGTCCAAGGGTTTGGGTGTGTTTTGATTTTCATCGGTGCATTTCCACCATTCATAGGCTTCCTTGCGGAGCAATTGAGATGCAAATTTTGGATGGTCAACAAGAGGTATGTTCAGATTTTGTAGTACACGAGCGGTCTGCTCGATCCATTCAAGAGCGATCCAGGGTTCGGAAATTCGATCTCCCAAGAACTCCTCAGCACCATTATCTTTCAAGGTTTTGAAAGTGATCAAACGAGGTGGTGGTGGAGGTGGTTGAAACATAGGGGCATTGGTCATTGGTTGCAAAAAGTTTACCATTAAAGTAGGTAGCATAGCGTCAGGTTGACCTCTAATATTTTGATCATTTTGGGGAACATGTTGTGAGTTTACTAGTTCATTTTGAATAGGAGGTGTGAAACTGGATGCTTTGGTATGAACATTCTCGTGCTCGTTGTCTGGCACTTGGTTACTTTGATCGTGAGCGGTTTCTTGACTCATTCTACAATAACAGAAATTCCTTCATTACGATTTTTGACTTGAATAGACGAGTTGACAACAGATATTAATTCAAAGAGACTACATCGAGGTTTAAGTCACTAGTCATTTCATAACAAGGAGTCACTTCATTCAACCAGGTTGAGCTATCTATAGCTTCTAACAAGTTGGTTCTTTGAATTTGACTGAACAAATCGTCATTACGTAGTAAAGGGTAGCGATTCTGGATTGTCAGATCGTTCAGTTATCTTAACAAGGATTCGAGGTATCCTTACCGTAAGTCAATCTTAGTGAATACAATGGATCCTCTAAGCTGATCAAATAAGTCATAGATACGAGGTAGGATAATGATTTTTGGGTAGTTGATAAAGAGTTTCATCGATCCATCCTTATTTGCGAATTCTTTCGAGATGATCTCGGTCGGTTTAGTAATCAGCTTTGCTTTCACCTCTATGAGGTTACCATCATTGGTCTTCAGTTGAAGAGTTGTCAACAATAATGTTTTTTAGTCAGCCAATTCATACTAAGGATAACGTCAATTTCCTTGTATGGTATTTAAACGAGGTTTTGCCAAGAATCGTCGCTCAACGAACTATTTCGATTCATAATGGAACGGAATACTTTAGATAACAAGAGTTTATTGATCCAAAAAGTTCATGTTTGAATCAGCGATCAGATCGTGTTGAGTCCACATTAGGATCTTCAATACCGGATTCACAGATGTTGTTCGTCAAATCAACATTAATCATAAAAATTTAAAACTTTTCAAACACATTTTATTTATCACAATAATATTTTTCATAACATATAGAATACGGAGTATTCAACAATATTGCGGAAGCGAATTTAATATTAACATATCATAAATCATTTTAGACTTGTCACATCCATCCCGACAATCTCGCCTTATCTTCCGCCAGGATCACATTGTTCTTTCTGTTTACCTGCGTGTAGCAAATAAAACACACTACACGCTCAGTGGTAAAGTTGAGTAAGCATATCTAATGCGTTGAACATCCATATAAACTGAATCTAAATTAATAATCAAATCATTTGATATCATGCACACAATGTTCAATTTAGACATACATAATTTGGGCATTGTTCAGTTCATATCAACATATTTTATTCAATTCAAATATTATTTCGACAGTGCTCTTAAATTATTCTTAATCTAAGGCCAACGATAATAACAATGCTCTTAGCTATTCTTAGTCTAAGGCCAACGATAATAACAATGTTTTTAGCTATTCTTAGTTTAAAGCTAAATAATAATTTCATTCTCAGACGCTTAAACTATGATTAGTTTAAGGAAACAGTTCTCCGATGCTTAAACCATAACTAGTGTAAGGCAATAATACTCCGACGCTTAAACTTTATTTAGTTTAAGACAATAGTTCTTTGACGCTTAAACTTTAATTAATTTAAGGCAAACAACAATACAGTGATTAATCATCATTGAGCCACAGTATTTCCAAACAAGTGATTCCCAGTTTGGTCTACAAATTCCGTTATTACATTTTTATCCAATCACCGAATATTCATATAAACTGAATCTAATAAATTCATAATCAAATCATTTGATATCATGATTAAATTATCAATAATCATTTTAACCAGTAGGTTCCTCATTCATAATCATCCATAATAATTATTCACCATAATGATCAATCCACATAACATTCAATAATAAATAGCGGTCTAATTTCGAGTGTTAACACCCAAACTTATCGTCATGCATCACATAAGATATTATTTGTCAAAACATCATTTTTGTTGTACAAAATCATATTTATGTTGTTCATAATTGATTAGTATCAAAAATAGGATTTTAGAGCTCAAAAATAGCATTTGTTGTAGCTGACTGTGTTCGGAACGATCGACCGTTTTCAGGTGACGGTCGACTGTTATTGCAGCAGTGGTATGGGAGTTTTTGGTCTCAAAATGGTCGACCTTGGTGGAGGAACAGTCAACCTTTGTGGCAGAACGGTCGACCATTCCTGCACACCAGCCAACAGCACTTCATCTTCGACCTCAGGTTAAATTTTCAAAAAATCATTTTTAGCCACAAAACTTTAATTAAACTATATAGAAATGTTCTTCAATGTTCATAGATCATTTAATTACCATTAATTCGAAGTTTTAACAACAATTTCAAGGTTTATGATTCTTGGTTTTCCAAGCATGTCAAACACAAAACTCAACCAAACAATCGTTTATGAACGTAGACACGATCTATACGAAAATTCTAGTCACTAGACATATCTGCGAGCTTACCTCGAAGCTTAATGGGGGTTTTGGAAATTTTTCGGCGAAACTTCCAGCGACGATAACTACCAACTCCAACAACCTCTCACCAATTTGATAGCACCAATGAACTCTCCACTCATCAAGGAACACAATGATGCTAACTTACTAAGTTTTTGGTGAAGAAATGGAAATTGGTTCTCCCTCTTATATAGGAAAAAGAAGAAGGAAACAAGTGGTGAGGTGGTGTCTGCTTAGGAAATTCTCTAGTGCGCTAGGTGGCGCCGTCTCAACAGTGTCCCTGATTAGGACCAATTTTAGTTCCAGTCGGGGTACACTTTTTGGTCCAACATTTTCCGAATTAAGATCTGATTGTACCGTTGGGGTCAGACAGTCAAACTCTACACAACGATATAATTTTTATATTTATTTGAAATACTTTTTCTGACTGCATATTTTTGAGTGTTGACGTTGACATAGCCAAAATTGAATTCATTGATATACAATTAACATTACTCTCATATTCAATCAATATTATTAAATTTAAATATTTATTTTAATAAATCATTTTACAAAAATCCATATCCTTGACCACTTCTCATTTTTATGCAAGTTACATATTTAAAATGTCATAATTGAAAATCTGTACATCAGATTTATTTAAAAAATATACTGTTGGATTCGTCTCTTCGAGACCTATCCATAAAAGTCAATCTTAACAAAAATCATTGACTCCAAAAATTTCTTTATTTTTGGTCAAACATAGAAATAATGCTTTGTTGAGTCAAAATATTGTTTCTAAAATACTTTTATAATAGAATAACTTTTAGATCATGTTTTGGGGCGTTACATCTACCATATACAAGCATGTAACATTTGGTGCGCTATATTATTGGCAATCTGTCTATCATGCGTCAATCATAGTGGGAAATCAGTCATCAACCTCCCCTCAATCCCACGATCTGGGGGATTCCATCTAATTTGGGCATTGGGTAAGACCCGTCAACCCAGCCCATTTTTGGGCCTCGCCTCCCCGTCTGTAATCGGACTTATTTAGGTACTGGGCCATGGAATTGCAATTCGACTGTCCTTGTCTGTTCATTGGGCCGGATATTCACCAAAAAGAAAAAGCAGAAATTCCAATGTAATTTTTTCTGTATATATAATATGAGAAGAAAATGGCACCAAGAAGCCTTCTACGAGGATGCATATAATTCTTGCAGATCTTTTCACATAATTTTTTTTATTTAAAAAAAAATGCTTATTTAAGTAGGTAAAGAAATGCTTATTTTGCTCATATGTATGTTCATATGAATTTTCCTTTTGTTTTCTTGTATTTTTATTTTTCCCCTTTTCTCGTTTTTCCTCATTCTCTTTATTTAAATTTTTTTATTTTTATTCACCTAAACAATAATCATTTTTTCACTAAAAAACAATAATTATTTATTTATATTTTCTGTTCATTTTCACATCTTTTTATTTTCTTTCTCCTCATTTTTTCTCATGTTGCAAAGAAAGAAGAGACACATACACTATGTTTGGTTCAAGGAATTTGAAAGGGAAAAGAAAAGAAAAAGAAGTGGAAAATCATTTTTCTTGTTTGGCTAGAGGGGAAAAGAAAGGAAAAGTGGAAGGAAAAGAAAATGAGGAGGCAAAATGTACAAGTGGAGGGAAGACCAAATTCTTTCCATTTTGGTGAGGAAAATGAAAAAAAATCATTTTCTTTTCTTTTCTTTCCAAATTCCTTAAACCAAACATAGTGATAAAGTTCTCGAATTCGACTCAGTGTGGAATTATGATGTTTTGACTCCAACGGCAGTGACCAGCAGTTTGAGCCTTTGATGTGAAGATTAAGATTTTTGTTTAATAAGACAGAGAAGATTAGGAATAACTCAAAATACTTATTAAAAAAAGAATAATTCAAAATGTACCCAAAAAAACACACATAGGAAAGGAAACAAAGAGAAAAGAAAAAAAGAAATGCAGTCATTGGGTATTTGGGTTCAAATTAAATCCTAACAACACATCACCGCCGATTAGTATTAAAGCCGTCTATTAAATGTGACGCGGTTTCGAGGAGGCAGAGGGGCTGACTTTTGGTTCTGATATCGCATCGATCATTTTTCTTTTTTCATCATCATATATCATCCATCGCCCTCTTGCTGTATGCGGTAGTAGTAGTAGTAGTAACTGCGCCTGCTGTCACCCTTTGACTATTTTGCGACACTCTTTTACTCCAATTCACTCTTCTTCCAATCAGGTCAGCGTCCCATTCATTTCTATATATATGATCCTCCCATGTGCCCCTTCTCCCCTCACACGTAAAACCACCAAAAGAAACCGCAGCTTTTAATAAACTCATATATCATCAACAGAGAGCAAGTTCTCCAGCTGGCTCACAGCAGACAAATTCACATTCAACACTCTCTTCATCGATCTTGAGTATATTTTAAGTTGCGATTTAGAAAAACCAAGTTAATTACTACTCCGTATATTATAGATTGGGGGTTTTCTTGCCTGAAGTTAATTACCTAGCTAGCTAATTAAGTAAGTGATGGGTAGGCCTCCTTGCTGCGACAAACAGGGGGTGAAGAAAGGCCCCTGGACTCCCGAGGAAGACATCATGCTGGTCTCTTATGTTCAAGAACACGGCCCCGGCAACTGGAGAAACGTTCCTTCTCACACCGGTTTGTTTCTCTCCTAATTACTTCTTCCATCTTCCCCAAGTTCGACATTATCTGCCACGTACTTTGTTGCTTGGTTTTGTAACATAGTGAAGGTTCAATTACTGTATTAAAACTTCAGGTTTGAGAAGATGCAGTAAGAGTTGTAGGCTTCGGTGGACTAACTATCTGAGGCCGGGCATCAAGAGGGGCAACTTCACTCTCCAAGAAGAGAAGATGATTATCCAGCTCCAGGCTCTCCTAGGAAACAAGTGAGTTCCTCCCATCCGTACCTTATAATTAATTAGCACTTGACCGAGATTTACCATATCTAATTAGCCGGGGGGGAGGCAGATCTGGAATGATGTACACTAAACTGAAACTATTTCACTAATTTGTTGTTTTTTTGTAACATTACTTGATTTGTTTAATACTAATATGGATGGAGTACGTTTTTTGTGCAGATGGGCTGCCATAGCATCATACCTGCCAGAGAGAACAGATAATGACATTAAAAACTATTGGAATACGCACTTGAAAAAGAAGCTAAGAATGGTTGAATCTGTGGGGGACTGTGGTGTGCCTAATCTTAGTAGATTCTCATCATCCTCAGCGTCAAGAGGCCAGTGGGAGAGGACACTTCAAGCGGATATAAACACAGCCAAACAAGCCCTCAATGATGCTCTGTCTCTTGATCACCAGCAGAACACCACCCTGCTCCCGGCAGTGGAATTCTCTGTCCCGGAAGTGAACGCAACCGCATCTGATCAAGCCCGGCCACCCCCTGTGCGGCTACACACCCAGCCGTCTAACCGTGCCTTATACGCATCCAGTGCCGAGAACATTGCAAGATTGCTCAAGGGCTGGATGGGAACTCCAGCGACGACGTCCTGCTCCGCGGGTACTCCCAGTTGGCACTCAACCACCCAAAGCAATGCCACTATAACGACCGCCGCCGCCGCGGATATTTCTTCATCCTCCTCCAGCGAAGACCCTTGCAAAGACGAGATTTGTTTGAACGCGGCATTTGGTTCCATTTTTGGGTTCGACTCATCGATGACCTTGGACGACCACGTCTTCTCTCAGTCCGCCTCACCAGATGATGGTTCGGCCTTCATGTTTTACGGCGAGAGCAAACCGCAAGTCCCGTTTTCAGCTATGCTGGAGAGTTGGCTGGTGGGTGACATCAACGGTTTTGATTATGCTAATACTGATTTGTTTTAGAAAATATTTGCACTAAATAGCATTAAAACTTAATCATTTTCCTAAATAGTACTTAAATTGTTTTATTCCCTAAATAACAGTTAATAATGTCCATAATATCCAGTTATAGCGAATATTTGTTTGAATAATGACTAATGCATAATGACTAAAAGTGCTACATTGGGAAGAAAAGCACATGTAATGCCATTTAGTGAAAGTCATTATGTTTTAGTGTTATTTAAGTAAATTTCTCTTGTTTTTAGACGCATTGTTTTATAAGTAATTAATCTTGGGGATCCATCATTTTGTTCAATTACTATTACTACCTCCGTCCCAGAGTATTTGTCCACTTTCATTTTTAAACACCATCCAATACACTTCTTTAATCTATTTTATCTTATAATTTATATATTAAAAAATTATAGAAATTATATATTAATAATCTATATGTTATGACAAATCAAACAAGATCACACATGACTATATTTAGGCTTACACATTGAGAGACTTTGATGAGTCAAAGTGCTTAGATGAACAGTTCCAAAAGTCAAAACTGGACGAATACTCCGGGACGGAGGGAGTATTATTTTTTTGTCCTCCGGTCTTGTAACACCCTAATCCGTATAACCCGGAATTACACGTATTAGGAGTTAAATAAAAATTTCGCTTGACATTTGAAAATGACAATTTCTGATAAATGTTGAATTTTACAGACTCTGGATCGCAACCCAATTAAAATATTTTTGGAGTAACGCGGAAGTACAATAATAATCAAATCATGACACATTTAAAATCTTGATGATCAAACAGTTGCCTGCCATCCTTGCATCTCCTCTGACTCAATGCCCTCCGGAAATTGTTCCATTCTTGTCTTTTTGTTACCTACGTGTAGTCAACGAAAAATACAAACTACACGCTCAGCGAAACCGCTGAGTGGTACCACGCTAGAATTGTAGAATAATTAACAGACATATACATATACATATATATGCGTCCACAAGGTGTATAATAATATTCATGATATGGCACATTATATCATATGTTCAATTTGATGATTTATGATGATGGATATTTAATGATGATTATCGGATGGCATATTTAATCAATATAATTATTCTTGATGATGATTACATGACACCTATGTAATCAAAATAATTGTTCTTGATGATGATTACATGACACCTATGTAATCAAAATAATTGTTCTTGATGATGATTACATGACACCTATGTAATCAATGTACTTGATGATGATAACATGATTTCACATTTAATCAATTTGATTGTTCTTGATGATGATTACATGACATGTAACACCCTAATCCATCCAGGTCTGCAGCCCCTTTAAGGACTAAAGTATTTAACTTGGTAATCGTAAAAATTTAAACTTTTCAAAAACTTTTATTTATCACAATAATATTTTTCATAACACATACAGTACTGAGTATTCACTAAGATTGCGGAAGCGAATTTAATTTTGACATATCATAAATCATTTCAAACTTGTCACATCCATCCCGACAATCTCGCCCCATCTGCCGCCAGGATCACATTAATCTTTCTGTTTACCTGCGTGTAGCAAATAAAACACACTACGCGCTCAGCGGTAAAGCTGAGTAAGCATATCTAATGCGTCGAACATCCATATAAACTGGATCTAAATTCATAATCAAATCTTTTGATATCATGCACACAATGTTCGTTTCAGACATTCACAGTTTTGGGATTGTTCAGTTCATATCAACACATTTTATTCAATTCAGATACTATTTCAATAGTGCTCTTAAATTATTCTTAATCTAAGGCCAGATCATAACAACGCTCTTAGCTATTCTTAGTCTAAGGCCAGATCATAATAATGCTTTTAGCTATTCTTAGTCTATGGCCAAATCATAATAATGCTCTTAGCTATTCTTAGTCTAAGGCCAAATCATAATAATGCTCTTAGCTATTCTTAGTCTAAGGTCAATCATAACTTCCATAACCAGATTCTCTTAAGGCAATTATTGATCAGACACTTAAACTATCATTAGTTTAAGGCAATTGAGTTCGGACACTTAACTGTAGTCAGTTAAGGCAATCAAACAGTTAAATTATCATTAGTTTAAGGCAATCGATTTCGGACACTTAACTGTAGTCAGTTAAAGCAACAACAATATAGCGAATGATCAACATTGGATTGGGCATTCCCAAACGAGTAATCCTCTAGTTTGGTCTACTAATCCCGTTTATGCATTTTTATTTAATTCATCAACTATTCATGTTTTCATAAGTTCATCCTAAGATCTATTCTAGAGGTCTTCTAGATAGTCTTAACATCAATTAGCTAATAGGTATATCTTAAAGTCTTTTAGATATCCTTAACAATACACATCATTTTCTTGTTGATCAATTTATTCATTTTGAATTATTGTTCAATAATTCATAAGCATAATTTAGTTCAAGATAGTCAAACGAACATATCTATTCATAATTTCATCTTTACGGTTCTTTCGTTCAATTCCATATATTTTTATTTGTCATAATAAAAAACATGATCGTTATGTAGTTATAATAACTCGAGTCGTCCATTTGATCATCATAATCAATATTTAGTATCAATGATATTCCATTATCCATTATAATAACCATTTATTGAGGATGTTATCAAGATTTGATTATAAAAAGTCATAATAACATTTATTAACAAATAGCTGCCTAGTTTCGAGTGTTAACATTCGTACTATAATTAATTGGTGTCAAGAATAGGATTTTATAGCTTCAAAAATAGCATTTTCGGATTGAAAAATGTTTGTAACGGTCGGCCGTTGGGTCCGAACGGTCGACCGTACCGTTCTGAAAATTTTCTCTTCTGATGGTACCTAGACACAGTACCCGGGTCCCGTATCAGCACAAAAATTTACTATTCATCATCTTCTTCATGCGGCCATTTTCCTCAAACCTCATTTTAGGTTACCAAACTTCAATTAAACTATATAGAAATGTTCTCCAAGGTTTGTAGATCCTTTTAGAAGCATCAATTCAAAGTTTTAACAAGAAATTCAAGGTTTATGATTCTTGGTTCCTCAAATATGTCAAACACAAAACTCAACCAAACAACCGTTTATGAACATGGAAACGATCTATACGAACATTCTAATCACAAGATATATCTACGGGCTTACTTCGTAGTTTAACGACGATTCCGGCGATTGGACGGTGAAACTTCCGGCGAACACCACGGCTTGCTCTGGCGACTTTGGCGGCAACAAACTATTGCAAAATGCTCTCTTCACTCTTAGGATTCTAATGGGATAAATTTTATAAAAAATGGTGCAGATTTGAAGATTTTGATTATTCCTTATACAGAGTTGGTGAGGGGGAAAAAGACGCAGGATGATGATGATTGATCGGCTAGTGCGCTGGGAGGCGCCGATTGAATAGTTCTCTGATTGGGACCAATTTTGGTTCCAAATGGGGTACACTTTTTGCTCCAACTTTCTCCAAATTGAAATCCGTTTGCACCGTTGCGATCAGACAGTCAAGTTCTATTTAATGATATATTTTTCATAATTATTTGTGATACTTTTTCCGACACCATATTTTTGGGTGTTTGACTTTGACAGAGTCAAAATTGGTTTAATTGACCTTTATCATAAAAGGTTCTCTTATTTAATTCATATCAATTATTCTCATGATTTATTTCAATAAATCATTACAAAGTTCACATCATAATTAACTTATTTATTTATTCTTGATTTGGGTCTATACTCAGGTTCCCAATAATGTTCACAAAAATATTCCACATATTGGATTTATCTCTATGATACTTATCCAGATTTTGATATTGAATATTAAAAAAAAAATTTCATAGCATCCCAAAGCCCAATATTAATTTATTTTAATCAAAACAAATTTGATTAGTTGAATAATTATTCATTAAAAATTCTAGGGTGTTTTTTGGGTCGTTACATGACACCTATGTAATCAATGTACTTGATCATGATAACATGATGCATGAACCTAAACTTGCAAGGACGACCCTTGCGCTATGAGATTCGCCCAGGTTGTACGACGAACTCACGCCATCTTAATCTCACGAATGAGGTGAGACTAGAAAAATAGGGGTGGTACTCGAAAGCCTGAATACCATGTACGTACACTAAGCCCGGTCAGTGATGTCGGACTGCTAAGTCCTGCACAATCACGCTATAAGAGACGCACGAGGCATGATCTCTTATGCATGCATATGATGTGATATGCTTCAATATGAATGATGAAATGAATGATATGATGTGAACAATTTACAAACAATATGAATATATAATCATGCACAAGTTTATTTGGTTGAAACATGGTTAAAATATCATTTAATCAAGCTACTGGGCTCGGAACGGTCGACCGTTTGACACGGAGGTCGACCCTGTTCTTCATTACGTCGGATTGCTGGATCACCATGACGGTCGACCGCGGTTGACCGACGGTCGACCGTTGTTGACTAGCTGCGGATGACGGACTTCGGCTAGAATGGCGGCGGTCAACCGTTAGCCACCGGCGGTCGACCGTTTTTCTGATAGTCGTGGTCCGTTTCGATGTTTAACGCGACGATCGACCGTTTACATCGACCGTTCGGGTCTGCGAATCTTTCTCTTGATATTTTGAGTGTCCAAAATACTTCTTTAAGTCTTTTAAACAGCTTTGATTAACATATACATATTGTTGGGTTGATTTCCAAGGTTTATATCTTCTTATGTGTATATTAACTTTATGAACTTGGTGTATTTTGATTTCAACACATGGATGACTTAGATATGTATCACATACTCCCTTCGTCCCCCTGTATTTGTCCACTTCCATTTTTGCACACCATCCAATAAACCTTTTTAATCCATTTTATCTTTTAATTTGTATATTAAAAAATTATAAAAATTATATATTAATAATCTATATGTTAAGACAAATCAAACAAGATCACACATGACTATATTTAAGCTTACACATTGAGAGAATTTGATGAGTCAAAGTGCTTAGATGAACAGTTTTAAAAGTCAAATGTGGACAAATACAGGGGGACGGAGAGAGTATATATTTTGGGATGATTTCAACATATGGAATAATATATATGTTCATGTACGAATGTGATGAATGATTCGACAAGTCTAACGCAAAGGTACAAACCTAGAAATCATCAGCCGAAACCTTACGGA